AACTCAGAACCTATGGTGAGTTTTGCAACTATTTTTCATTATCTGAAATAGATAATTATCTCACATTCAATATGGATGGACGCTAAAAGTCACAGCTACTACTATGTATTCCAACATTATTAATTTCATTTACACAAAAATGCATTCAACTCATAATATGGCTATTGTCCTTTGGAATTATCATTTAAAATTGATAAATGCATGAACTGATAAGAAGTTACTGAAAAGAAGACCTTTCATTCAGTTCAAATATTTTATTTATTTATTTAAACACATAAACGTTGTTACAAGGAGAAGGCAGTGAGTAGGACTTTGCTGGCAGTAGCTGTATACGCGTGGCCATGTGAGAGATTTTGGAAAGAGGAAGCGGACTCCCCTATCCTCAGCCGTACCAGGGTATTTGGGGGTAACTTCAAGAGTTCTAGGTTTCTGGATATTGTGTGAGGAACGCTAAATTCTGACAAAAATATTGACCTAACTGTGGCAGTTTCGGGATACAGACGTATTTCCTTCAATGTTGTGGAAGCAAACTCTAGTTGTTGCCATGATGCCCCCATATGTTTTTACTTTAGAACATACTCTAAATCTTCCTCAATTAGTTAAACTTTTTAACAGTTCATACTTTGAGTTGTGACATATGTCGAACGAAAGCAAAAAAACGTTGGGAAAAATAAAGGCAAAACCCTGGAAGAAAACTTGGTTTAATTTAGGTAGCAGTATAACTAATTGTTGCTTATTCACATGCTCTGGAAAAATGTTAAGATACTTCCTTTGAATTATCTCCCATTGAAAGATATGTTTCGAAATCCACTCCTTTATGAGACGACTTATATTATACAAAACTGAATTCTTCATGTCCTTTTTTTTTCTTTCCAAATTTATTTCACTGGATTATATTCCTTGAATAACATCTTCAAACCCTAATGTTTCCGATTACTACTTATATTTTTACTACCTCTAACACCACGGGATTTGAATCGAAAACTGCATGTCTGTGCTAACGTGGTATGGCAACTCGAACTGATGAACGTACGTACGAAGTTCTACTTTGTTACTGACTGACGGATGATATTTCTATGATCGGTGACCATCGAGATAACAGCGTTGGCTGATGTAAGACATTTCTGTGGACGCTATTTCTGAGTTATGATAAACGGGAAACACTGAACTTCATTGTCACAAGTTTAGCAGACATGTAACTGTCGAATTAGTTGTCATTATGTGATGCCCTGGCTTGCTCTAATGTTAGGTACACCGCTACATTAGGTTGTGACAGGTGCATAGTTAGGGATTGTTGTATAAATGTAAGAATGACTTTTCCAAATGGTGAATATGCTTTGTGAAGTGATGAAAGTTTTCATCGACAGTCAACCCATCCACAATTATGGAAATTTTAACCCTGAATTACTTTCGGTGAACATGGTGCAAATGTTTCCCTTAGACATGACTCACATGGTATGCTTAAAAATAGTGAAAAAGTTGGTTAACTTATGACTGAAATGAACTTCTAAACGACCGAAAACTATGATTAAAAAATTCATTACTATAATTGTCACTTCGACTTTGGGTCCTAGCTGATACATTCCTTCAAACATTCAAAAATTTACATCCTAAACGATGTCTTACTTTGAAGAGAAGTAGAATGTATGTTACGCCTGCCTTGTTTGGGGCCTGTAGTGTAAGAAAACAATTTACCCTCAGCTGTACCAGGGCATTTGTAGGCATATATCACTACTGCAACATTACTTCTTCACACAAAGAACAAAAAAATACGAAAACTAATCTACTCAAATTATCATGGTGATAAATAAATAGTATTAATGTATATTTATTGTTACTTATTACTGGTATAATTGTCAAAAAGCACTGTGTATACTAACCTGATCGTTTATTCTATAATTATGAACTCTTGTTATATCGAAAACAGAGGTTAATAAAAGATATTGAATATCAGTAATGTATATCGCGTAACTCCGCCTGCAGCCCCTTTTGTGTTACTGCCGGTCCCAAGCCCAGATAAAGGAGGAGGGTCGGGCATGAGGTTAGCCAACTCATCCCGTTTATTAACAGTTGTCTACACAGAATATTTCGTATCCGTTGGCCAAACACTATCAACAACAACCTACTGTGGGAAAGAACAAACCCAATTCAAGGGGATGAAGAAATCAGGAAGAAGCACTAGAAGTAGATGGGAGAAACATTGAGGAAAGCACCCAGTTGCATCACAAGGCAAGCCCTCACTTGTAATCCTCAAGGTCAAAGGAGAAGTGATAGAACAAAGAACACATTACGCCGAAAAATGGAGAGAGATATGAGAAGAATGAATAACAATTGGATAGAACAAGAAAAGAAGGCCCAAGACAGAGTGGGCTGGAGAATGCTGATCAATGGCCTACGTTCCATTGGGAGTAAAAGGCGTAAGTAATGTATGTTGCATATATATATTTATATTAGTCATCACATGGTTAATGAATCATTTTTGACAATTCAACACAGATCATAATTACATATCATGAATTTAAACAATAGTGTCAAAATGATCAATTGCTTCAAATATATGTCAACTATATTTATGAAAATGAAACAAAAAACTATTCTTACTGATGGTCAGTCAAATAGATCATGATTAGTTTTAGGAATTGAATAGAATCCAATAGAGAAATAAAGGAATTAATGAGCAGGCTTCATTTGAATGACTTATTTAGACACACTATAAAACTGGCGTTTCCACGTCTAATCAATCATAAACAAACGTCTGATTGGCCAAGCGGTCTAAGGTGCCAAACTTAAGAGTGTTATTCTGGGTGTTCTGGTCCACGATGTGGGCGTGTGTTCGAATCCCATTCCCGACGCATATAAGGCCCCAAATGTCCTGGTGCGAATGAGGGTAGGGAGAATCAGCTCTCCCTTTCCAAATGCTCTAATTTGGCCACACGTGTACAACCACTGTCAGGGAAGTACTACTCACTGCCTTCTCGCAACATTACTGTTCTTTAAGAAATTGGGAGGAAGGAAAGAGAATGTCCGGCGCTTTAACCGGGTTCGTCGATACGGAGGATCCACCTAAGGGAGTTGGGAAACCTGATTCTAAACCAATGGTGCACATAAGCCTCAGTATTCTGAAGGAATAAATGGAGTATGAATCAATCGTTGGTCACCGGCTGCCATGGGACTGCATCTTCCGACGTCGCTCCACTGCTTTGTGGATCAGACCTTTAGGTCGTAGGCTCGGGTTGTGGCCCCCTAATAAAACCACCTGCTTCGGTTTGTGCACCGGGGTAGTATACCAGCCCTCACACGAATCAAGTGACTTGTGTGGCGCATATGTATTCGGTGACCCTTTGTACCAATATTTATGTGTTCAAATAAATAAAAATAAAGTGGATATAGAGAAAGCACAAATTTGGAGATGAGGGTTGTTGTTTCGATTAATTACAGTGACAATCAATGAACTGAAATCATTTCCTCAGTAGAATAATAGTAGTGGTCATCAAACATAGAATACGATTATTTATCAGGTTCGTATCCGAAAACTCTCAACAATGCAAACACAAACAATCACTGGTTGATCTCAATTTTTGATTTAAGTTCCATCAATAATTTTCTTATAGAATATATAAAATTGTACATCAGACTGAGCATGTTTGTATAACCCGTGTCTTTATCATCTTAGTTGAAGAATTTTTAAAAAGCCATCAAACATACTGCTACACTCAACTTTATCAATTACTTAAAAAATAGTTTCATCATGCGAAAGAGACTGTAATCTTCCATCCAGTATTACGATATCGCATTGTGATACCATATAAATCTACATTTACCTGTCAGTCAGTCAGTCAGTAACAACGTAGAACTTCGTACGTACGTACATCAGTTCGAGTTGCCACACTACCTTAGTACAGAGATGCAGCTGTCGATTCAAATCCCGTAATGGTAGAGGTAGCAAGAGTATAAGCAGTAATCGGGAAGATTAGGGTTTGGAGGTGTTATTTAAAGAGTATAATCCAGCGAAATAAATTTGGAAAGAGGAAAAAAGAGACATGAAGAATTCAGAAGATTAGAATTTGGGAGAACACAAAGAGTGGATGCACCTGCGCCATTGCAAACGATTTTGAGCCATGTCATTCAGGGTCTCTAACCATCGGTTGCTATCATCTCGTGGTCCCCAACCAGGTAGTCTAAACCTACCAACATGACTCAGTCCACTTGTCAGTGACTTCATGGACTTGTGCCATGTTTTGGTTTGGCCGCCTCTAGCTTTCTTCCAACCTACTCCTATACCATTGAAAATAGTACGTCGAGGTAGTCGGTCGTTGGGCATACGTAACACGTGTCCCAGCCATCTCAACTGATGAAGTTTCACTACTTCATCAATTGATTTGCCATCCTTACCTGTATGGGTCAAACGAACTGTCAATAAGTTAACTGCTACATTTACAATTCCAAGGGTAAGTGCTGTATAAAAGTTCAAATTAATTTTCATTGGAGATAATAATTTATTATATCAGCTAATCGTCAGTCTGTTCTAGTATCATTCCATGATGTTCACGGTTATCCAACGACACAAGTTACATATACGTGATCAGTATCAGGATGAATAACATTTATACAGCTATGAACCACTATCTTATCAAGAAAAACAAATCTATATTGAAGATTATACCAGTTGTATAAAAAATTGTAATCATATCGAGAATATTATAAGTTTACTAACAAATTGTATATCTGTAACCATAGGTGTAAATGTTAAAACCAGAAACGACATATTTAAAGGTTTTAGCCCCCCAATCCGCCCTTAAAAGAAACTGACACAAGTCTCAGCTGGTGAAATTAACACTAACTCTCACTATCGTTCAAAAATATGCAATACATGTAGGTTAGCAACACGAGCATATCTTTAAAGTGGCAACCCTCTAAAGTTTTTGTAGCCTATTTTACTGGCAATTCTAACAAGTTCTCCTCAGTTGTACGGCTTAGATTAGAAAAAGTAGACCTTTCAATTTGTTGGTAAGATATATTGAAAAAAATAACCTTTCCCATCATTCATCACAATCAAACAGAAGAAAAACAGTAAATAAACACTGAAAACAACAGTTCATGCTTAAAAAAATTAAATCAGTGAAAAGAAACTATAGAAAATACATAAGTATTACAAAATAGGTTAACAATACCAACGCTGATTCTCAATGCAAGATGCAAAACTTTACAACTGGAAATCATACTACTTACTAATTATAAGTAGCAAAATGTTTTAACTGATCAATTCTAATTTTTTAAGTAAACTCGATAAATATTCGGATAACCAAAATAAATATCGCCAAGAAAGCATATCAGTCCACTTTAATGTAGATGGTTCTTCGCATAGATTATTTCTATATGACCAATTTAAGAATTCATTGAAAGAAAATCCCGTAAAATATATTTTAGATGATTTTAATTGTGTAATAATATCTGATGTTTTAGGAAGTAAAGGTTCCACTTGACTAAGTAATTTCATGATGCTTTCATTGGAATTGTATGAAGATTTATGACGATTTAGTTGGATCCAGAATGTAATCAACCGTCTTCTGTAATGGAAAAATTTAGTATGATATTATTAATGCACACTTTATTTAGTACTTTCGGCGAGACTACAATTTATGGACGAACCAATCAAATTTAGGATTTCGGCGCAAAATTCACTCGCCCATTCGTTCAAATACCGCCTTGACATTTTAGCTGATGTCCGTTCGTGATTAAAAACCGTAAATGTAATTCCTCATCCTAACCATCCATTGTGAATTTTAATCCTTATTCGTCAAACTACTTTATAACCTACATTTAACTCTAGTCAATAGGTAGAGACCCTCAAAGTCACTTTGGGGTCTTTCAAAGGTCGTCCATAAATTATAATCTTACCATACTTTCTATATGTCTGATCGAAGTAAACAGTTCTCATCAATAAGTGCTTAACAATGTAACAGAATTACCGTTTTTATGAGCATTTTACTAGTGAATGTTAAAAACTATGTGTGAAAAGTTTGTTTAAACAGAAATTAATTGCCATTCATATTCATCTATAAATATTACCTATGAATCTTGCTTCCGTGATATCTCTTCGTATCAGTGAATCTAATTTGATTTATGTAGTCTTGATTTCTGTTAGAGGTTAGATTTATGAATTCTATAGTAATCTCCTTTCATTTTTCCAAATGACGGATAGATAGGAGAAAAGTACATGAACTACCATAAGATTATTTATTTGAACACATAAACACATAAATACAAGGAGGCACCGAATAGATATGCGCTACACAAGTCACTTTATTTGTGTGTGGGCTGTGATACTTCCGGGTGCCCAGACCGAAGCAAGTAATTTTCTTAAGGGGCCACACCCGGAGCCTTCGACTTAAAGGTCTGATCCACAAGGCCGTGGAGCATCGTAAGGAGATGCAGTCCCATGGCAGCCGATAACCAACGATTGGTTCATACTCCATTTATTCCTCCAGGATACTGAAGCTTATGTGCACCATTGGTTTAGAATCAGGGTTTCCTAACTCCCCGAGATGGACCCTCTGTTTCCACGAACCCGGTTAAAGCACTGGACATTCGCCTTCCATCCTCTCAATTTCGTATAGAACATTAATGCCGCGAGAAGGCAGTGAGCATTACTTCCCTGACAGTGGCTGTATACGAATGGCCATGTGAAAGCTGATTCTCCCCAACCTCGGCCGTACCAGGACATTTAGGGGCTTTTCAATAAGATACGAGATATGTTCTAAGTATTTCATGGAAGCATGAACATACATGCGATTGTTGAAACACACAATGAATTAAATCAACCAAATGCAAAACGAGGAAACTTAATGGAATAATCGGAAATTTTTTTAAAAAAATGGTGACTTAAAATGATCACTATGATCAACCATTATGTTATAATTTACATAAATTACTTTTTTACTTACGCCTGTTACTCCCAATGGAGCATAGGCCGCCGACTGAGGATTTACATACACTAACTAGATATTACAATTTATGCACGACAGATGTGGATTGTTGCATGAACAACAAACATTTATTGGATTGTAATAGATCCCTATGATCAGTTAAAGTTTGTATCATTGACAACCTGAGGATTTCAGGCAGTTGTTTTGTCCCAGTTTCATACTCTTCAGAAGTGCACGCTAATGATTTCATCAGGGATGGAAACCATGGACATTTAAGTTTCATGGCGAGGTAGAAATCTTCAACTTTAATTTATCAATAATATGAACATAATGATAATCCAATGTTGTTTGCCTTACTTTATCTCAAGGTGTCTTGGCATCCACAAAGAGTAAATAATCAATCTCATTAGAATGATAACTTGGAATATTCTATCCCAAGTTGTACAGTAATTTCATTTGTGTAATGAATAAGAATTTATCATTCAAGTTGTAAGAGTAAGTGATAACTATCCAGCTGAATTTACTGTAAATGACAATCTTTTCCAAAGTGCCTATTACAATAGAGGTTGTGATAAACCTACTAATTATGTGTTAACTTCATTGAGACTGAACGACTAGTTAATGTTTATGATAGTTTTGATACTACATTTATATCAGATAAAGAAATTATTTTGCACCAAATCTAAGATATATCCATGAAATGTTTAGAAAGAGTTTGAATTATCCCACTTTTGATGTTCTTGACTGAATTTTAACCAGTTTTCTTAGGGACGTATCAACTGATAAATCTTGAATAGGACAAAACGAGTGCCTTGAATCCTACTACTGATCACAATCTAAGTATTTTAATATACATTATGTCCGTTCCCAAACTAATCACGTACTATCTTTCGATAGCATTTGATTTAAGAATTGTTTCCTACTGTTATGGTCTAATACAGATTACTGAAAAACCAAAGACTAACTAAATTACTAATTTGTAAACTTTAGATAAAGCTTTTTAGTGTGTATGTTATTGAGTCGTCAATAACTATAAACCAAGAACTCTGGAAACGTCAATTATAATTATTTTTAATATATATCCATTAGACAAGAGCCTATAAGTGAAAAATTTAATGCTCCATATTCAGATGATGTAGATATTAACATTATAATCGAACAGGTCTTGACAATTGGATTATGGAGAAATATATAATAAAGAAAAGCTGAAAACCAATATGACAATTATCAGTAATCAGTCGTTCAGCTACAAAGTACGATCAGGCACACAGAAACATCGGTTCAAGTTGCCAAACTTCATTAGCACAACAAGATAAACAACAGATTCATAGGAGTAGTCAATTCAGTGGTTTTAATATATAAAAGAAAGATTGCATAAAAGCATATAGTACAGGAAGAAAGAATTAGTTCGTAGAAAGAAAGATATGAAGTGATTTCAATCTCATAGTTTAAAAGGAGACAAAGTCTGTATACAACTACGCCATTGTGATAGATTCTAAACCATGTCAACAAGAGTCTCCAACCATTGGTTACGATAGTTGCGCGGACTCCAAACAAGTAGTCTGCATCTACCAACATGGCTCAGGCTAGAAGTTAGTGACTTCAAGCATTGATGCCCCCTTTTAGTTTGGCCGCCCCTAACTTTCTTCCAACGATTCCCTACACTAGTTAGTATTGCGCCTATTCTGGTAAAATGTACACATATATCACTTTAGTGTGAAAATTGATCATGAGAGGATCCAGAAGTTTATCCTCGGCATTAAATCTGTAAACTATACCTGGTTGTGTTCGTTCTAGATTTTCAATTATATAAAGGCTGTAATATTCTTGGGGAAAATCGAAGACGATTTTTCTAGGAGACTCTACTCGAGATCTAGAAGTTTAATCCACATGGCAGTGGAACAATGCCAGGAAACGCAGTCCTGTGGTAACCAATGAGCAAGACCGGTTTGTACACCACCTGTTTTCTCTGGATCTTGAAACTCATTGTTTGCGGGATATCGATTTGATTAAAGCATGCTCCGTGAAGCATTATGTTGGGACATGCTGATTCGCTATTTCTTAACCAGTCAGCTCTGTTGGATACGTGGAGAAGACTGTAGTCTTATGTTTAAATATACTAGGATTTTTCTTGTGGTTCCTACTTCCATCGAATCTTGTTATTTGGAATATAATTACGTTCCTGTTTAACCGTGTTCTGGTTTGGGGACTTGTTGAGTGAAGTAGTGTCCAAGATTACTAAGCAGTAAGAGTAGCTGGGGCGTAATAAGAGAAACCATAACACTCACGGACACTTGATTTCCAATCAACGTTTGCAAGCTGCTTTACGTGGACCTCCTTTATATACTAAGCCAGCGTGAACCCCTCTGACTTTGTATAAAGCACTCCCTGTGTAAGGAGCCTGTAAGGCTTCCTTGACAGAAACATGTAGGCATATGAGGATATTACGAAGGTGAACTTTTCTTACCCTTAGCCGTATCAGAGGATTCGGGAATGGGTAGACTGTAGGCGAATGTTTCGAATGATGACGGAACATGAATTGTCGAGCAATACATAAAAGCATAGTTCAAATGTGAAAGAAAACATTTATGTATGTATACCATACAACTCACCTAAACATCCATACACATTCACGTTCAGGATAAAGTTCTAGAATGTCATGTACTTTTTCAAAATAACTTTGGATAATCCTTGTTGAGTTTTCTAACAGTAGTTTTTGATCATCTGATATTGGAGATAATGAGACAACCATAGATTGACTCACTAATCCATCAAGGACACTTTCTAAATAACTCCAACCACTTATATCAGTTGGGTGTTTTGCTAACCAAACATTTAAATTATCCAATTCTATCTTATATATCTATTGAATACAGATAAAAAAACAAAAAGAGAGGATGGTCGTCGACAGTGAATCATAATAAATGTACACGACTACCTACAGTGATTTTTACCAGCTCAAGTTGTTATACCCTATTTTGGCATAAGGAGAAAGGAAATTAACAAAAGTATCTGACTTTCGACCACACTTTAAGTGAGAAGGTTGGTTACTTAAACCAAAATAGGTGGAGCGGGGTTAAAACACGAGGCTTAGTGGCTGAGAGTAGAAAGTCTCAAGCACTGAGCCACTCTGCTCCAAATTGACAAGGTAATAATTACACAAAGAGGAGATAAAAGAAATTGAACACAGTTGAAAACTAAGCATGACAACTATGTTTCAAAAACGAAACAAATAAGGTTGGAAAAATTACTTACATGTATATCAATTGAACGATAGTGAGAAATACTGTACGATGTTCCTAAACCGAGTATAAATCTACTACACAATAGTTAAAAATCAAGTGTCTTATCCAATCTGTTCTGATGATTTACCGTCCATAAAAGAGAGAGAGAGCAATGGTTTTTACAGATTAGATTAATTCTCCATAATGTGAGTGACAGCACAAAGATGTTGAATCGGCTAATCACATAAACACCTAATGTAGGCATTTTCCCATTTTATTTATTTAGTTATGCTTTTTTTCTTTGGTCCCTCATTATAATTTCACCATAGGCACTCTATTCTTCCACTTTTGATCTCCTTATTCTACTAATTACCAAATGTCATAACTAAGAATAATTCATTAGTATAAAGTTGTTTTTTCTCTGAGTACAATAGCTTCTGTTCGATAAGATACAAAAAACTTTTGGTTAAAGCAATTTAATTGTGCACTGAAACTATGTTCAGAGGAGAATATTGAAGAACTATTAATCATAGTTGGAAGATGTTTGTGGGCAAATGTTCCCCTCGTTTTATTAACGATTGTAATTATCAGTTTACATTTACATCCTAAATAACTTACATTGGAAGGATAGAAAGGACGGTTTTTGCATTTGAATCCACAGCTGTTATTACGTAACCTTCGACATACATTTCCATTTTCAAGAAACGTGCCTCCATATGTTTTAAGATTCCTCCCTTAGAATTTTCAAATTTGGTAGCATATAAGCGTTTATTCATCCTAACATTTTGGAATCCCTCTATATTTAATGCCTTCATCCTATTAATCTCCATCAATAGGATATGAAATACGTACTTTGGCTGTAAATAGTTATTACCATTGTTTGTAGGTTGTAATTAGGTGAAATGGAATCATGAAACAATTACATTCAGCTTATTCTTTTATGCTTTTCATTTCTGTTTCAGTCAAATATATCAATGAGGAAAATGTTATGAAAATATGGGGACCAATTAATGATTGTCATTTAATACACGGTTACAATTGAGTGGCAGACTTAAAACAATAGACTTGTGACCGAGAGATGGATTGAAATTGTGGAGCCAGTGTTTAAATAAAACTATAACAGTAATTACGAAGGGAAAATAGGAATGAACAATTAACCTCAGGATTTTGTTGATGTAATAGTAAAAACCGACGGTATTGCCATAAACCATAATTACAACGATATTTGTCCGCAAATTTATTACATAACTCCAATTCAGATAATAGAAACTTGTGATCATTTAGATAATTGTAACGGTGAATAATCCATTGACTATTTATTGATAATTATATTAGAAGGATAAGTTGACAGATTAACAGAATTACCGGTGAAATATAGTCTCGTATGAGCGAGGATACTTGTTTAGAATCAATTGAGTGAACCTTAGTTCTGGATCGACTGATAATTCGTTGTTTAATAGAGCTTTACGCTTGAAGTTCCAGAATGTTGTTGTGTTAGGAGATACTAGCAGAAGATAATTCAGCAAATCTAAAAAGAAATCAACAAAAAAATTTGATTCATATAAGTCATGTATGAAACGTAGTTGATTTAGAAAATTTTATTTATTTGAACACATAAACATTGTTACAAGGAAGCAACAAATATATATGCACTACACAAAGTAGTTACCATCAGATTTGTGTGGAGCCTCTGATTCAGAAGTCTAATTCACAAGGCAGTGGAGCAACATTAGGAGATCCAGTCCCATAGTACATGGTGACCAACAAGAGGTTCATATGCCATTCGTTCCCTCAGGATCCTGGAGCTTATGTGTACCACTGGTTTGGAATAAGGGTTTCCCAACTCCCCTAGGTAGATTCTCTGTATCCAGCATCCCGGTTAAAGCATCGGACATTTGCTTTTTATTTCGTCAAACAACATTCTCGCCACGAGAAGGCAATGAGTAGGACTTTCCTGGCAGTAGCTATATACGCGTGGCCATGTGAGAGATTTCAGAAAGGGAAGGCGGACTCCCACATCGTCAGCCGTACCAGGATATTTGGGAGTAACTTTAAGAGTTTTAGATTTATGGATATTGTGTGAAGATCGCTAAATTCTGACAGAAATACTGACCTAACTGTGGCAGTTTCGGGATACAGACGTATTTCCTTCAATGTTGTGGAAGCAAACTCTAGTTGTTGCCATGATGCCCCCATATGTTTTTATTTTAGAACATACTCTAAATCTTCCTCAATTAGTTAAACTTTTTAACAGTTCACACTTTGAGTTGTGACATGTGTCGAACGAAAGCAAAAAAACGTTGGGAGAAATAAAGGCAAAAACCTGGAAGAAAACTTGGTTTTAATTTAGGTAGCAGTATAACTAACTGTTGCTTATTCACATGCTCTGGAAAAATGTTAAGATACTTCCTTTGAATTATCTCCCATTGAAAGATATGTTTCGAAATTCACTCCTTTATGAAACGACCTATATTATACAGAACTGAATTCTTCATGTCCTTTTTTTTCTTTCCAAATTTATTTCACTGGATTATATTCCTTGAATAACATCTTCAAACCCTAATGTTTCCGATTACTACTTATATTTTTACTACCTCTACCACCACGGGATTTGAATCGACAACTGCATGTCTGTGCTAATGTGGTATGGCAACTCGAACTGATGTACGTACGTACGAAGTTCTACTTTGTTACTGACTGACGGATGATATTTCTATGATCGGTGACCATCGAGATAACAGCGTTGGCTGACGTAAGACATTTCTGTGGACGCTATTTCTGAGTTGTGATAAACGGGAAACATTGAGCTTCACTGTCAAAAGTTTAGCAGACATGTAACTGTCGAATTAGTTGCCATTATGTGATGCCCTGTCTTGCTCTAATGTTAGGCACACCGCTACATCAGGTTGTGACAGGTGCATAGTTGGGGATTGTTGTATAAATGTAAGAATGACTTTTCCAAATGGTGAATGTGCTTCGTGAAGTGATGAAAGTTTTCATCGACAGTCAATCCATCCACAATTATGGAAATTTTAACCCTGAATTACTTTCGGTGAACATGGTGCAAACGTTTCCCTTAGACATGACTCACATGGTATGCTTAAACATAGTGAAAAAGTTGGTTAACTTATGACTGAACTGAACTTCTAGACGACCGAAAACTATGATTAAAAAATTTATTACTATAATTGTCACTCCGACTTTGGGTCCTAGCTGATACATTCCTTCAAACATTTAAAAATTTACATCTTGGACGATGTCTTACTCTGAAAAGAAGTAGAATGTAGGTTACGCCTGCCTTGTTTGGGGCCTGTAGTGTGAGGAAACAATTCGCCCTGACCCTTAGACCTAAGTCTTCTTCGTTTAGCTATGCTTTTTTCACTATTGCATCCGAAATTAAAAATCAGTTTCACTGAGTTGATAGATAGTTTGATAGATTCTCGCATTAACTATGAAGGGTGTTAAGGCGCTGAACACCTTGTTTATGACACCGACGGTATAAATCTGAATAGGACTTTAGATTCTTCGTCGATCATTCCCTTAGAGTATTATACGAGATATAATAAGCACAGTACTTCGCAGATACACTACAGTCAGACTGTTCAGAGTTGTGTAGAAGAAACCCTTTATAGTAGGTTACAGATCAGTCACTAACACCGGAAACACAATTACTCACTATTCTAAGAAACAGGTTATGTACCAGCAGGGACACTAGGCTTACCTTCTTTAATACCGATGATGTAATATTCAAACACAAACATGAATTAATTACAAATATTAACGACAGTAGACTAGTAAACTTAAGATATCAAGTTGACTCCAGTATTTTTTCACCAAAACACTGTCTTTAAGTGACATAGAAACATTTAAACGCTCAGTAATCATTAGATATAGATTTTTGTAACTGACGTAAAGTGCAAGTGTATTTCTGTAAACCACTTGAATAATGAAGATTTTATTCCCCTACTGTAGTAGGGAAAAATATATATATATACGTCCTTCTAGGTTAATTTTCATATTATCACATTTGGACCGTGAGATTACGAAATCAAATTATCTTCACAATTTTCTCACTTTACAACTAAAAACGCCGTAATTATTGCTTCGCTTAGAAAGGTGGTCACTGTTCCAAACAAATGATTAGTGAACGATATTGTATGCTTATGCTAACAATACAGTGTACTTTAACATAACGAGTTAAATCAATCCTAATGTGAATTGGTCTATCATATGTCTGAACTCGAACTATTTCAGTCGGTCACCATCAATGTGAAAACTATCAAGCATATGTTAATCCAGGTTTCTATCATCCAATGGTGAAGTGAAGTTAACAAGATGTATAGTAAAACAGAGTTAATAAAATAGTACTCATGATAAGGAAGAATAATAGCGTTGATAGCACGGCTCAGAAAGGCGGCAAAAAGATGAATGTCAAGAAATATTGGATAGCTAAGCCGCCGATCAAATTGAAACCAAGTCTTTTTCTAATGTTTCGGCCCCATTATTTGAATTTCTGTTGCGTTGGGTTCGTGTCACAACTCTGGCAACCAATATATATATATATATATATATATATATATATATGACCAACAATTCGATAAAACTGTTAGTTTTGCAGGTCACCACAAAAAAAACACGACTGTCAAAACTGTCACGTACCATCAGAATTAGGTTCCGATGTATTTGATTCGTATACACCAAAGATGATAGTTGTTGTACACTTACATATCCCAAATGCATCATTACAAATGGACAAAAGTGTATGATCTCCTTCGTCTATATGAGGTATTATATCGTATTCTGAACTATTTTTTTCTGAATAATATTACATTTAAATTACAAACCATGTTTCAATGGCCTTCCGCAAGGAATTAAGGAAGGACTTAAGTTCAAGTAAGTCGAAGGTCATGCGGTGACAGTTTGAAGAGTACACGACATCCAATATTTTTGTGATTAGTAAATACAAACAACAACTCCAGTGCTTTCATGTCGTTTCAATAAATCTCACCGAATATTTAGTCTGCAACCGAAGAGGAAGTGGGCCAATGACATGTAGTAATGAATTAGATGTTAATTTCTGTATGAAAATGCACATTCGTTTGAATGTATTCTACACAAGTATGTTACAACTTATTAGGGCAAGGTATTTGAACCGTTGACTTCAGGTACAGATAAAAGAGAAGTTACAACATCTTGTGATGTCGTCGAATATGGTTAGCACTGAGTGCTCTAATATCGCATGCTCTCACGTAAATCTAGGTTGTAAAGTCGTAAAATTTGCGGTGTACACAGGGGTTGTATAAAGCATTTTAATGAGTTATTTTCGAAACAACTAACAATCCAGCCTAGAGAGATGCATTATCTGCTTATTTTCGCATCACATATTCGGCTGCGTAACATCATGTGCGTCAAAATGACTTGTACTATGATTGATTATTGGGTGGTAGACTGAAAAATTTCGCCATGGTGATTTTAAGACAAGCTTTATGTTCTTAAAGCTGATTATAATGTTGTAAAGATGTGCGTCGCTAAGTGGGTTCATGATGCATGCATTCGTCGATGTAGACCATCTTCAGACAAATGAACTCCTGGAAATGCCATATGTATTCCAGATTTAACAACATCTTTACACGCATCATCTATATTATTTAAGTATACTAAGCCAGTCAGATCAGGATTCATATATGAAGTGGTTCGAAGATACATGATGAAGATTGTTGATATACTGAGAAGCCTTTAATCTAAGCTGGCTAGTAGTTGCAAGGAACGTTTAGCATGGCATACACATGTAGTGTGGCGTGGAGTCGAAATTGACTATGAACACCACTACAAATGAACGCGTGACAGGATATCCATAAAATCCCCCGGAAGCGAAATATCAGAAGGCACTTAATGGACCGAACCGAGATATATTTGCTTGCGATCTTGTGGTATCGAAAGAATTCCGAGATCGTGACAGGATACAAACTTGGTTACTGAGCGTAACTGGATTCGCGCTAGGTCACAATCGAAGTGAGTATAATGAACATTTTTAGCACAGTTAAACAAAGAGCACAATAAACAGTCACTGGTACAATTGGTTATAATAATAATTGCTTTCATTAAACCAATCGTGTTCTCGTGATAAAAATAAGTCACTACACACACTCGTTATCTGGTGCGGATACGTGACTGAGAGCTTTCAGCTAAGGTATTCCCACTGAATTAATGAGGTCGGGTCCTATGTTGAGGATTTTTAGGTCTATTTATCATGTGGATTTATTTACCACAACCTAATATTTGGCCACTTAGGTAACGATAAGTGAAACATATATTTTCATGATGACAAAGTTTGTCAAGGAAACAAAATTTAACACAATAAACAATATTGGCAAAAGCGTTTTTCATTTTACTCATTGTTGTTTTAACCGCTTCACATGACAACAAGAGTTGTCATTTTTTCGAAATTTTGAGGCAATTATGTGTCCATCTGGACGAAATCCGCACCCACCAATTGCACTTGAAAATGATGATACTTTGACGCGGTTGCCTAAAAAAGAGGTATGTACATCAATAGATCTTACTGTAGTGAAGCACAAAGTATTCAGTCTTCCTCCGCATTTGGCGCGTTTGGAAGATCCTTGGAATAAACTTTGCACGCACCACACTCTTTCTAGTCTCAGACATACAGTAAGTTAAAAACGTAAACGTCGGTGTATACGAAAGGTCGAATATTTCGATCCAGAGGCTCCAAACGATGATCTAGATTTCAGGTTAAAAGCAAACTATGATCAGCATATCTATTGGTGGAAGTCCAACGCTGAGGCTTTGATACAACTAGAAACATTAAATAAAACAAAGTATGATCAAATATATGTTTTTTCTTGATGGTCTATGCACTATTTTAAAATCCGTTTTCTTGAATTTTTAAACGTAATCTCCCGAGTTTCGGGAAATTATGTCAGCTTTGTAAAAATTTCAGCTTTTGCTCAATAACTCACCAAAATCACTTCAAATTTTGGGGAAAAATACGAGTTTGTATGCGATGTTTCGGAAAACACTGAAATTTCCTTATGATTGGCAAACTGGAAAACAAGCGTGTTGAAGTATAATAAGAATTTATCATAATAAGATGAAAAAGAACATATCAAAGTGGACTAACACGCAATTTTGGAGACTTATTCTCGTTTACGAACACTTCGTCACTTGGGGCTGCCCTTGGATGTTGATTTTAACTTCTATGATTTTGTGCCATACGAAACGTAATACTAATTTGCGCTTTCCTAGACAAGAGATATGGCTTATAGGTAGATCAAACTAGAATGGTAACGTAAAATACTAGTCTTATTCTTCTAAAACTGATACGTGTCAACGTTTTTTGATGTTTGTCTCGCAAACCAAAGCGTGCTAAATATTTAGTTAATTTGGCATATGAAGAGCATGTGGACGAATGTTTTTACGATTAAGCTGTATTATGCCCTGTCTTTAAACATGTAAGTCTCTGTACCGTCTTTTGAAGAAAAAGATTGAGATATACTAAGCGTATAAGGATATAACTGGATAAACTATTGCAACGTTACTTCTAAGAATATGGTTCACGTCAGAGTTTTTAACCAACGAAATTGTGTTGATAAAGTTTCTTTACGACGAAATCGTTTTGGATATTGACTCATAACCGAGGAGTGGATTGTGCATTATCAAATTAAACTTACTCAAGTCCACAAACTCTATGACGAGGCAAAAAAAGAACCGGATAAAGAGAGGGGAAAGTTAAAACAGCCTGTTACTCCTCGTGAAGGAGCGTAGGCCGCTCACCAGCATTCTCCATCCAACCCTGTCCAGGGCAATCCTTTCTAGCTCCGTCCAGTTGAAATTCATCGCTTTCATATCTGCTTCTATTATCCGGCCTAATGTGTTCTTTGGACTTCCTCTTTTTCGCTTCCCTTCAGGATTTCAAGTTAGGGATTGCCTCGTGATGCAGTTTGACGATTTGCGTAATGTATGTTCTATCCATTTCCATCGTCTTTTCCTAATTTCTTCTTCAGCTGGAAGTTGGTTAAAACAGATAAGTAATAAAAAGAGAAGCAGATGTAGATTATTAGGGTTAGACAGGTTGCAAATACTCAGGACGTTACAGTACTAATATTTAAGTATCTTTTAATAAAATGATCAATAAACTAATAAAAGCGGAATTCCAGAGTGATCGAGTAGAGAGGTATATTTGAATTATGAGCAGATGTCTCGTAGCATTTAATATCTGGACTGACTAGTTATAGAGGGAGATACGTGCATGGGAAGCCTAGACATATCAAATACTGCTTTGTTCATTTGACCGTTGGTGAAATAACTTCCCATTTACTTCTAGTCGTTTTACTCTGTGTAGCTAGTTGAATAATCGTTAGGGGTAATGTATTGTTATTGAATCAGACTCTAAACAGTGGAATCGGACGACCAGCGTTTTGTTTTGGGATAAAAAGATTCAGAAGTTGATGTTCACACTTCTACACAGAATTTAACTTAATAAGTTTTATGCATCAACCAAGCATATTACTTTACGCACCTTCAGAGTTGAATAGTCAACATATCTAAGTTTGATAAATTTACAGCTTAGCGTAAAAGTAAGTCAAAAAACAGAAAACGGAATGATAGTGATCAATTTAAAAGTGAAGTTTTAGATTTAGAAGTTCACGATTACATCCATCTATATAGTTATTATCAACTTTGGATTATTTTGCCATTATGTTTAGTCAAATAACGTTTATCATCCGAAGAAGAGCATATTCAAAAATTTACATTTTTTCTCACCAGGTTTACACCATTAATAGAACAATTAACATCAGTTCTCAATATAATTAGTCTCATCTTTTACTAGTATGATCCTACTCCGATCATAAGTAGAATGTTATTTTTTCAAATATTTAGTGAAGTTAACTGGTTGTTAATGTGACAATATTTTTCAGTGTTCGCATTAGCTCAAACGTCTGTGCGACTAACCATTTAGACAGCAATAAGTATGACAGAACCTGTAACATCTGTGCATCGGTTTGTGCTACCATACTGCATTAGCACAGTAAGGTGAAATTATCAAAACAAACGCTTGAGTACAAAAAGTAGTAATAGCATCAGAAGTAGAAAGTACTATATTCGAACGGTATGATTCGGCACGAAAGAATGAATTATCATGATAGGAAGGTTTGCGATGATTTCAAAACTTGAGATGCAAGGAAAGATAAAATATGAGTGAATTTGTGCCATTTGAACCAATTTTGATTATTGTTCTCTGATGCCTTCAGCCATCAACAAAAAAAACAACACGCACTCTAAGCAAGTAGTGTTCTTCCACCGATATGACTCGGACAAGTTAATAATTTCTTCATTAACGATTTCATTTGTTGGTTTTTTCACACTTAGCCTTCTTTAAAATTACCCTCCAGCTATTAACTTATCAGTTCGTCACCAATGAACAACATAAAAAATGTAAAATGACGCTCTTTTATCACTATCAAAATCTTAAAAATTGAATATATTTCTTTGTGTATTGTTAAATTTTTGTTTTTAGGAGGGTGCTTAAAAATCGACCTCCAAAACCTGTAATTATACGTCCCCCACCAAGTCAACCATTTACAATATGGACAAGTGATTGTAGAGAACGACTTGAACATGTTTCAGAAGCAATCGGTAATAAAAAAACTAGTGATATCTTTATTTAAGTATAAGTTTGTGTAGTTGATGTCACGATGAAACCCCAGTTAAAATATACCTTTATATATTACATTTCAAAAAATATGTGAAAATCAGGTCCTTGTACATAACATCGATGTAAGAGCCACGTGTTACGTATGCCTGAACGCCGATTACCACGACGTGCAATGCTAACCGGCGTTCGGGATGGTTGGAAGAAAGTTAGGGGCGGTCAAACCAAAACGTGGCATCAGTGCTTGGAGTCACTAACTTCTAGTCTGAACCATGTTGGTAGATGCAGACTACTTGGTTGGGGTCCGCGTGACTATCGTAACCAATGGTTGGAGGCTGTGTGTGACATGGTTCAGAATCGATCACAATGGCGTAGGTGTATACACACTTTGTCTTCTTTTAAACTATGAGGTCAAAATCGCTCCATATCTTTCTTTCTACGAACTAATTCCTTCTTCCTATACTATATCCTTATACAAAATCATTCTTTTATATATTGCCACCATTGAATTAACTACATCTATGAATCCGGTGTTCATCTTGCTGTGTTAATGAAGTATGGCAACTTGGATCGATGCACATATGTGCCTGATCCTACGTTGTAGCTGACTGACTGTACATAACATATCACCTAGCACGTATATGTATCAGTTGCTATTCATCATATCAACACAGTGAACAAATCAAAATAAACTACATGAGATACAGAAAAGAGTAATCTAGATACTGAATTAGAAAAGTAAAATGTACACTTGGAAAAGAACAAATGGAAAGAAGATTTGATCGCTTTCATAATTCGTTCTTTGTGTATTTCAAAATAAGTTTATCAGTTTATATTTACCATTTTAGAGAATCAAAAAGACGTCAGCTGATAACTGCTGACATTGCTGAAATAAACTAGAACATCCATACTATTAGACTGTAATTTTATTGGTTCATAATTGAAATAAGTTTATAACGCACCTCAGTGTAACATGACACCCATACAAAACTGCATTATTTAAAATGATTCTTAATTTTTTAGCCTTTGTTTAGATGAACTGGTCAGGGCCATTAAAGTGGAAACTATTAGTTCACCAGCAAAATTTCTATCGGTATATTATGTTAATTATCCCCTTACTTAATGGTCGTTTGTTGATTCACTTCGATTGATTCGTAACAATCAGCTTACAGACTCGTTCGAACTAAAGACCGGTGTCAGGCAAGGTTGCTTACCCTCACCCTTTCTCTTTCTCCTGGTGATCGACTAGATCATGATGACGTCAATATCTGGGAGGAAGCACGGGATACAGTGGACAGCTAGGACGGAGCTGGACGACCTAGATTCAACAGATGATCTAGCTCTTCTATCGCACACGCAACAATAAATGCAGGAGAAGGCGACCAGTGCAGCAGCGGTGGTCTCAGCAGCAGTAAGTCTCAACATACACAAAGGGAAAATCAAGATTCTCCGACACAACACAGTATGCAACAATCGAATCACACTTGACGGAGAAGCTTTGGAGGATGTAAAAACCTTTACATATCTGGGCAGCATCATTGATGAACACGGTGGATCTGATGCAGATGTGAAGGCGCGGATCGACAAAGCAAGGGCAACATATCTACAATTGAAAAACATCTGCAACTCAAAACAACTGTCTGTCAAATAACACCAAATTCAGAATTTTTTAATACAAATGTCAAGATAGTTCTATCGTATGGGGCGGAAAGATGGAGAACTATAAAATCAATCTTCCAGAAGATACAAGTGTTTATCAACAGCTGTCTATGCAAAATACTTAGTATCCGTTGATCAGAAACTATCGGTAACAAACTACTGTGGGAGAGAACAAACCCAATTCAAGGGGAGGAACAAATCAAGAAGTTCTGGAAGTGGATAGGACACACATTGAGGATAGCACCCAATCGTGTCACAAGGCAAGCCATCGTCACTTGGAATTTTCAATGCCAAAGGAGAATAGAAAGACCAAATAACACATTAATTTGAGAAATGGAGACAGATATGAGAAGAATGAACAACAATTGGATAGAACTAAAAAAGAAGGCACAGGATAAAGTGTGTTGGGGAGTGCTGATCGTTGGCTTATGCTCCATTGGGAGTAACAAGCGTAAGTAAGTAAGTAAATCAGAAGAATGGTGATAAAAATGCAAGACATGCGTCAAGCGGTTTGGACTACAAAACCTGAAATAGTAGAATCACACTAGTTCAGTCTTGACAAATCAACTAGCACTGACTGGTGCTTAATTAACCAATCAGCTTGGCAATGACAAAGTAACTTCTAGGACTTTATCTTAATAACATTTCATATATATGTTAAGCAAGCATTGGTCATGTTGTCCAAGATGATAAAGAAAGCTTCTCAATAAGACCATTCTGATCAGAAAACTCAATAATAAAATTTATTCACCGTGTTAGTTATATGAACGACTGAGCATCTTGCCGGAGTATAACAGAAGCTCCCCTGATGCTAGTCGTTATTGTCTAACTTGCTTCCAACGTGTTTAACTGATCCCAAGCACCTCCAGGTTGTATCTCCTCATTTCTGCAGCAATTTGGAAGACTCTCCCGGTCTCCCACATTGTACGAGTATTCCATGCACCTAAATAAATGGTTGCTCTGGTTGTCAGAAGGGGCATCGACCTCGTAACTTCAGAAGGAACTCAGCTTTCATCATGAGGCGTCATAACTCTTCTAAGCGAAGACCTTCTGATTCCCAAGACAGAGTTTAAAAGGTTTGAATAATTTTTTCTGGTTAGCGTTTTTTAGCGAGTTAGTTTCCTATGGGATGGGGTCGCTAACCCCATGCACACCCCTCTTCATCTATTCGGGCCTGAGACCGGCAGTAGCCCCCGGAGGGACCCCATGTGGAGTTGACTAAGCATCTCAGTGTTACCTATCTCACAATGTTTCTCCAAGTCATATAAACTTTGATGAGATCACTTTTGAAATATACGAAGCTCCCAAGAATGACATGATTAAATATTAGACAAAGAAAAAAATGTTTTTGATTGAGATCATGAACCGATTGATGTTAGACCATCACAATTGGAAACCTGGAAGCACTGGATGTCCGTTTCGTTCTATTGTGGGACTCCTCAGCAGTGCGCATCCACGATCCCGCTCACGGGATTCGAACCCAGGGCCTTCGGTCTCGCGCGCGAACGCTTAACCAACTGGACCACTGAGCCGGCATCCAATGGTGATAGTGTCTAACATCAACCAATCCACGAAATTGCGCGGCCAACTTCCGTTGTACTGAGGTAGATACCTGTCTCTAATCGACAAGGATTAGCTCCACTGGTCACGGCTTCTCACTAGAACTTGTTTCAATTACAATTCTGTAAAGTATTATAGTATTCGTATTCATTGAATTACTCGTAAATATCAGTACAGAACTATAATGATGAAGTACTAATTGAAAGTAATCGAATGATAAACTTAGTTAACTTTTCCTTATGTATAAAATTTAACAAGTTTCATATGTGTAATCTTTTTCACAGCATACATTAATTGAGCTATTAAATATTATTTTAACTACTTATTAGTAATATAACTGTATATCTTAAATTTCTTCCCATTTTATTTAGATGCAAATCATACTCAAGCAACAAATGGTGGTTATTCAAGAAAACCAGATGGCAATAAATTTATAGCTTGAATAGGCAATAAAAAACCAGTTTGATTAGATAAAGATTAACATTGATTGACACGTTGTTAAAACGTTCAGGAAATTCCTTCAGTTTATATAACAATAATGATTTGATAAACTGACACAGGCTTAAATAGAAACACTATCAATAATCTTATTCTTCTTAAAGGTATTCTTTAATTAAATTTGATTGTATCTACTTTCATTCATTCAATTAAGAGTGTATTGTTCTATCTATAAATAATTAAGAATAAATGAGAGTAAATACAAACTTGAATAGATTGGAATTCTGTTACAAAATAACACTATAACATTGATAAGTCATAGGTCAATAGGAGATGGAGGAGATAGAATGTTTATTAAGAAGTAAATGTCATTGAGGTCATCCTTCTTTTTTAAAAAAGAAACTTACATATATGTTATATCTAGAGCTTAAACTCTTTGATATACCGCGTACAACTTGAGTAATCGAACTTTAGAACCCTCCAAGTTACAAAATGAGAAGTGAGAAAACGAAAGAGAAGGAATGCTATTCCGAAAGAGCGTCAAATATGGTACAAAACTTTCAGGGATTTATAGTTTTTAGTAAAAACGAAATCATCATTATAGTTATTCAATCCGCATACAGGGTTTTTTGTCATTTATCCGATATGGAAGATAAACGTCGAGATTGTGCAATGTTCTTTCAAAAGATGATTGGATGGAATATCTTCAGCTCTTTCTGAGCGTCTTAGAGCTTCCTCAAGTTAACCCGTGAGCCTTTCTCATAATATAACAACACAAATAATATGAGCTCTTCTTAGACACTTACATATATATAATGATGGTTGACTAACAGTGGCTTAATACGTTTTCTTTTAATATCCGTTCCGATCTTTATGTTACAATAAATGATAGTCATCTGTCGATAGATGTGGCTAAATTGACTAACAAAACAGGTTTACACGTACAGATCATGTGTAAATGAGACTATTGTCTGTTATTACTGTTTCCACTAACTAATCTTTAGATAAACTTATTAACATTTTGAAATTAAGTTAATGATTTCTATGGAAGGATTTGGGTAGCATCGTCGATAAACAAGAAGGATCTGGTGCAGACGTAAAAGTGAGGATTGACAAAACAAGGACAGCAGTCCTACAATTGAAGGACGTATCGAACTCAAAGCAACTGTCTGTTAACCAATATCAAAATCATAATCTTCAATACGAACGTCGAGATAGTTTTACTGTGCGGAGGTGAAACATAGAGAATTACCACAACCATCAGCAAATATTTACAAGCATTTATAAACAATTCTCTACACAATATACTTAATGTCCGTTGACTGGATACCATCAGTAAAACTTGAATGTGGGTGAGAACAAACCAGCTTTCAGCTGAAGAGGAAATAAAGAAAATTCACCAGAGATGGATGGGACATACATTATGGAAATCACCAAACTGCATCATAAGGCAAGCCCTAAATTGAAATCTTAAATGGAAACGAAAGAGAAGAAGGCTAAATAACACACTGCGTTGGGAACTGAAAGCAGAAATTCAAAGGACAAATAGCAACTAGAAACAACTATAAAGGATTTTCTATGAAAGAGTTGGATTGAGAATTCTGATGAGAGGCCTATACTCCTACATGAGGGGTAACAGACATAAGTAAATATGAAATTAGTAATTCGTATAAAAATAAAACTAACATTCTATAACTGAGAATAAAATGCCTTGACTGTGACAAACTGTAATATGATTTATTGGTTTCGAAAACACGCTTAAGTGACCTTTTGAGAATGTCCACCTACTGACCAGGACTAAATGAAGGTTATAAATCAGTGTGAGGAGTCAGAGTTATGATTTACAGTTGATGGTTAAGGTTAGGAATTAGATTTAGTGTTTTCATCACGAACTGACATCAGCTATAATGTCAAAACTCTATTTAGCCAAATGGATGGATGAATGTCGCACCAAAATCCGAGACCTCATATCTTGTACCTGATTGGTTCGTTTATAAATAATGACATCGCCAAATGTGTTCTCAAAATAATTAAATAATCTAGATAAATATTCAATATGGTGAGACTATAATTTATGGACGAGCCAATAAGAAGCGTTTGAGAGATCTCAAGGTCACAGAGCCAGTTTCAGTACCTGATGCTCACGTATGATCGATTTACAGCGGATCTCAATCAGGACATTACAGATGAGTGGCTACAACATATGGGATTACTAAGAAGTACCTGTATTTATGATTATGGTGTTCAAATGGCTGCTGAAAATTGTGAAGTCCATCGTGATGATGTTGTATTACGATGTAATATATGTTGGAGGAAAAAGTTTTGGTAAAACAAGGACTTTTGTCGCTCGATCCAGATTGATAACAGATTGATAATTGTTGTGAACTGGATAATAAAAGCATCAGTAACATTAGCTGCAGGTTTTCCATGGTGGTCTAACTTCAATGGACTCATGATCTCAACTATTAAAATGAAAATATTACTGAATTAGGAAAAACAACACCTTTTTTTTATAAAACAGATAACACGATCCATTGACAACAACCGATTCAGTTCAAACAACACACTGAACAAATTGAAATACATAAAATGTATGTTATGAAGGTAATAAATCATTGTTTATGGTAAAACATAATAATAGTACAAACCATAATAAAAAAAACATGATGAAAACCGTTGAATAAATCAAAAAATAGAAGTGGAAAGCAAGTTTTCCTCTCCCCCCCTTCTCTTGCCCTCTCTCTCTCTCTCTCTGTGAACTATTCACATTTGTGCATATGTTTGTTTGTCTTTATTTGTTTATCTTTTGTGAATGAGTAAACATAGGTGCATTTGTGAATACTTAGTGTAGGTATGTGTGTATTTGTGTGTTTGGGGGGGGGGTGATAGAGTGGAGACTTGGCAATAAGATCATTCTAATGAACAAATAGTTCTGAATAGACATTTACATTATACATGTATTGTTAATGAAAGGGAAACATGTATCTAGGTTTGTGTTGTTTGTTTGTTTGTTTTTACAAATAAACAAACATGTGACAAAACAAATCGGGCTTTTTTCTTCTTCTTCTTCTTCTTCTTCTTCTTCTTCTTCTTTAAATATCATAATTTCTTGGCATATTAATTAAATCAATAGATTCTGGTCCACGACGATATCTTCGCCATATTGTTCGACGACATCCACAAATAAGTACAGTAAGTGTACAAATAAGGCCACCAATAATAGCAAATGCTAATATAATTAAACCATCATCTGAAATAGTAGAAGAATAAAAGAAAAAAAAACAAATATAATAGATAAGTAAAGATGGATAGTGATATCCAGAACGCGCGTCTCGTCCTATTTAGGACTCGTCAGTTGGATGTACTTGTAGCTCAGAGTTGATGTTCATTCTGGCTAAGTGAATAACGTGATAATGTTTGAAGAGAGTGATACTGGATTCGAGTCCCAGATGTTTTCGAAGTAGTGTTCTGGTATGTTAGGATTATCGAGTGAACAATGCTACATTCCGATGTGAAATACTACGTAAAGATGGTAGATCGATTGAAGAGGTAATAAAATTTCATTGAGTAGGATGATTATAATATGTAGTAAGTATGCCATATCATCACCTACCGTGATATGAGATGATGGCTGGGGCAAAACATTATCAAAGAAAAGTTAGAGGTCAAATAAAAACATAGAATGTGTCTACAGAATCAATAACTTTTATAGTGAGCAGTGTTAACAGATGTAGCCTATCTGATTGGGGTTCGAACCATAATCGCAACCAATTGTTGAAGATGGATGATATGGATCAGAATCAGTTGTAATAGCATAGATACATTCACACTTTCTCATAAAATACTTATACCTTTTAACTCAATGATTTCATTCTTTGTTATCAAATTATATTGTATATTATCAGAAGGGGTTTGTGGAGATTTTTAGAAATTTTCACAGATTGAAGTTGAAGCTAGACCACCATTGAAAACCTGGAAGCACTGGACGGCCGTTTCGTCCTAGTATGGTATATGATGGCGCAACTTCGTGGATTGGTTGAAGTTAGACATTAACACCGTTGGGTGCCGGCTCAGTGGTCTAATGGTTAAGTGCTCGCGCGCGAAGCCAGTAGGTCCTGCGTCCGGGCCCCGCGTGGTGCGGGATCGTGGATGTGCACTACCGAGGAGTCCCATACTAGGACGAAACGGCCGTCCAGTGCTTCCAGGTTTTCAATGGTGGTCTAGCTTCAACTGACTCATGATTTCAATCTGTGAATATATTGTATATATTTAATCTTGTCTACTACTACCCTTGAAACTCATATTGATTCTACAACTCTGTAATTTGTCATTTAATTCCAAAGACCGATACACATCAGTTAAAATTTATTCCATTACACAAACCACTGGCTATCTGGACTCAGTAAATAAGTGGATTATATAGTGGCATTTGTAGAGGAAGGTACTGAGCACCGGAGCGAATACCGACCGTAAGATACAGGTACATCCAGCTGTCAAGTCCAAAATAGGGCGAAACGCGCGTTCTATATTCCAATGCTAACCGCTATCCATCTCTGCTTATAAATAAACTACGGTCTAAAACAGGATGAATATCATTAAATATTTCAATCTTATGAATGATAGGTAGTGATCTTGTGTTGGCCGCTAAACCTCTCACTATATGTCATGAACCATACGTTAAAATACGGTTGTGGTAGCATTTATCAAGTCTCTAATCATTCTTAGTAGAGAAATATGGAAGAGTTTGGATAACCTTTTGGTTACATTAAACTATGGAACCATAGTAGACCATTCCTGAAAATCTTGAATTCCAAGGGAATTTTCTTCATAATCGATATGATAATCAATTTTATTTACAATAGATCGATCATGGGTAGCAGTGGGATCCAAGACACATCTTTCATCTTATCTGGGAATCGTCAACTGAATTTACGAGCAAGATAAGAATTTATGGATGACCCTGGAACGAATGCCAACTAACCTTGAAACATTTCGGTACATCAGAAAACCGTCAGTATAGAGTAAGAATATATTATACGAAACCAAAAAATTAGAATGAACACACTTCTGTAACTTGGTTTAAAAACTTTTCAACATTATGAAGAAGCTCTAAAGTTCTGAAATCGTAATGCATACGATACAGCAACTCATCCATGTGACTCCGTAATAATAGACCTCTGGAGCCATGATAAAGTCGCGAAAATTCTTTTAGCCTCGGTCACATTGCTTCTATATTATTTTCGTGTACTCCGGTGGTGGGGCCTGCGATGCACGTAACCAAGTGTATGTGAACATCGATATGCTCTCCGGCCATCTGTATATATTGTGGTGCGCGGCTACACATACTGCCATATAAGTAGTAATATCGTTGTGACCTGTCGGTTTCTCAAACACTTGAAGTGACCTCTTTGAGATGATCTATCATATGTACTAAGGACCTGTTATTTGTACTTAAGGAGGTGTTACTTACCCAGTCTTCTTTAGCACTTCGTCCTCCATTTATTTTGCGTTTTCAGACGGCCGTTTTGTCTATTATTATTCTTACCATTGTTATCATTGTTGTCATTATGGGTTTCTAGCGTTTTAATCCAAAGCTGCAACCAACTGAATTCAACCCTATCGAGTATGAGGAGGGTACCCACCAAAAATAGATTGATTGAAGTTAGACTTGTTTACAATTGGAATCCAGCTCCATAGCCTACACGATAATCGTTTACTCACAAGGCTGAAGGTCCTAAGTTCGACTCCCAGTTGTGGAATGGTAGATGAGTCGCTATTGAGGAGTCACATATTTCCACTAGTTAACTAACTTAAATCAATTTGTGATTACAATCATTATCATTGTTAGACTAAATCAATACTTACACATACAACGTCGTCCAGGATAATTAACATCGAATGATGCATCAATTGTAAAAGGATTACACTCGCATACATAAGTACCTTGTGGTTGTACAATACATTTAGCATTTATTGAACAATCATGATTACCATTTTTACAAGGATCATGAACTGTAGAAAATAACAATGGAAAGTAAAGGAAAGTGTTGATCAATAAAATTGGTGATGATTTTGTGATAAGATAAGGTTGAAATAAAATTTACCTGAAGTAGTTTTTATGCAATAGTGAAAGCCAATAGTTTTAGCAAGTACTTATATCATTTAGTTATTAAAGTTTATGTTGACTGTTACATAGATTCTCCATAAATCTCTTTGTTGATAATTAACATTTGGTCATTAGTAACTAGTTTCAAACTGTAATTCTGAGATTAGATGGTGGTTGGAGGTAGTCGACAGGAAACTATGGACCAAGGTTTCGTGCTACGTGGCACTCGTCAGTAAAGTGTACCTTTAATCTTGAGGGAACTAGTACTCCCTGATGGACTCGATCCCGTATCACCTGGATTCACAGTCAGAGACGTTACCACTGGGCTATCTGGGTTGCGATTAAGCTCCTGTCGGACTGAGGTTTATTCACAATGTTTGACCACTGGTTGACGATCAATGTCATGTGTATCTTATCACAACATAGTTCACACAATGTTGAGTCACCTAGATTAGTGGCCACAGTGCAACATGGTCGACAGCATTTGGTCTGCACTAAGAAGGAATTGATACACATAACATTGATTACCATCCAGTGATCAATCAATTGTAACTTCCATAAACCTCACTATTGCTTATTAATATCAATTCAGTTTGAGTGGTTGTAGGATCATTAAATAAAACAATACTTCATAAGATATTACTTAATATTTTTTTTCTAGTTAACGTTTTTTTAGCGAGTTAGTTTTCTACGGGATGGGGTCGCTAACGCCATGCCCAACCCTCCTCCTTTATCTGGGCTTGAGACCGGCAGTAGCCATCGGAGGGACTCCAGGCGAAGTTTTCATAAGATATTAGTCCAGAACAATAAAATTTCACTTTCAAACTATAAGGAATTATCGTAGAAAAATCAATATCAATGAACAATAATAATTATTTTTGCATATGTGGTCTAACTTCATGATCGAATTTTTAGAAAAAGTCAATGGGAACCTGTAAACGAGATCGTAGATCATCGAAAATACTATGAAGCATAAACTGATCATGATTAACACAAAATTACTTGTACTCATGTTATTAAAGGTTATCTGATACTTTATATCTTCTCAAACTATATTCTTCATCTTAGTATGGGACTCCTTAGCAGTGCGCATTCATGTCTCAAACTATGAAGCTGTTTGACATGAATTATAATCACTCCAAATGCATTAGATCTTTCCATTTTGAGCCGGATGACTGATCTCAAATGGTGAGAGATCCAGGTCAAGCAGAGTTTCTTACCAACTACATCTGATTACATGACATTTAAAATATGTACACGTGGTGTCAAAAGCGTTTAGACTAACAGTGAGCACATTACAATTTGATCTATATGATTCGATAAGCATCAAGAATAATATGAGTTGACTTGAACACATAAATATTGGTACAAGGGGGCAACGAATACGAATGCGCCACACAATTCACTTGATTTTTGTGTGGGATGGGATACTGTGTCAGTGCCCAAACGGAAGAAGTTGGTTTTCTTAGGGGGTCACGTCAGGAGCCTTCGACCTAAAGATCTGATCCAGAAGGCAGTAGAGCAACGTCAGGTGATGGAGTGTCCAGGTGGCAAGTGACCGACAATAGGTTCATACACTATTTGTCCCTTCAGGATCTTGGATCCCATGTAAACTATCGGTTTGGAATCAGGGTTTCCCAATTCACCTAGGTGGACTCCCCGTGTCCACCAACCCGGTTAAAGCGCCAGACATTTGCGTTTTGTCCTCTCGATTTCGTAAACAACATCTGTAATGCGAGAAGGCAGTGAGTAGGACTTCCATCGTAGAGACTGTGGCCATGTTAGAGCATTTGAAGAGGGAGAGCGGTCTCTCCCTACTCTCGGTCGTACCAGGGTGCATGAAACCGATAGGTTTTGGGTTCGAATCTTGCAAGTCGGGATCGTGGATGGCCATCGAATACTTCCAGATTTTCGATAGTAATCTAACTTCAATTGAGTCATGATCTCAACTATTGAAACTATTATTATTATTACTGATATTCATCATAAGTAGTACTTACCATGAACTTTAAACGTTGATGAATTCCCAGAAATGATATCATCTAATGAAATGGTTTTGAATTCATTTAAACTTGGATCCATTGTTTTTAATCCAGTCATAATTTGATTTTGTATTAATGTTAAATTTATCAATGGAATTAATGATAATTCTATATCTAATATTAATGCAACTTCAATTATGACTGATAGTTTATGATAAGTAATTAAATAACAATCAATAAATGAATTCGATAATTGTATATTTGATCCACGAATGATACTTAATTTAAGCTAAATTACAACAACAACAAGAAGGAAAAAGAAGGTAGATGAAATAAGATTATAATAGTAAATTGTCTGTGACTATATTGATTAATGATTATGAATATGTCTTGTCATTACTTATTTTATTTTCCCTAAGTATTATCATTTCATTCTGTTTGTGTGTGGGCTGTGATACTGCCCGGGTGCCCAGACCGAAGCAGGTGGTTATCTTAGGGGGCCACACCACGAGCCTTTGACCTAAAGGTCTAACCCACAAGACAGTGGAGCATCGTAAGGAGATGCAGTCCCATGGAAGCCGGTGACCAACAATTGGTTCATACGCCATTTTTTCCCTCAGGATACTGGAGCCCATGTGCACCAATGGTTTGGGATCGGGTTAAAGCGCTGGACATTCTCTTTTTATCCTCTAATTTTCGTGAACAACACCCGAGGTGCGAGAAGGTAGTGAGTAGGACTTACCTGGCAGAGGCTGCATACGCGTGGCCGTGTGAGAGCATTTCGAGAGGGAGGGCGGGCCCACCCCACTTTCGGCTATACCAGGGCATTTGGGGGTATGTCTTGTGAAAATGGACGTTACTTGTTATATATCGGATCATCATTAATTGTTATGTCAAAAATGTTTATCACTTATATTTGAAATGAGGGAATTGTGTAATTTTTACGACAAGAAAGTCATTTAGTTAGTTAGTTGGTCAGTCAGCTACAACGTAGGATCAGGCACATATGTGCATCGATCCAAGTTGCCATACCTCATTAGCACAACAAGATCAACACCGAATTTATAGATGTAGTTAATTCAATAGTGGTAATATATAAAAGAATGATTTTGTTTAAGGATATAGTACAGGAAGAATGAATTAGTTCGTAGAAAGAAAGATGTGAAGCAATTTTAATCTCATAGTTTAGTTTAAGGGAAACAAAGTGTGTATACACCTACGCCATTGTGATCGATTCTGAACCATGTCACACAGAGTCTTCAACCATTGGTTACGATAGTCACGCGGACACCAACCAAGTAGTCTGTATCTACCAAAATGGCTAAGACACGAAAGTAAGAACACAAACACTGGTATAAGTGAAGATTTATTGACCACAGAACACGACGACGACAACGATGATAGTTCAAATTACTCTCATTTATCTAATGATTGTAAACCCATTTTGATTAATAATTAGGATGAAGTCATATCTATAAAAGTTACAGTTATAACAGATTGGTTGGTTGATAACAAGATGTAGACTGAAAAAAATTAATACCTAAAAGGTTTGTGTAATATTCTGTCTAATCTGTTTTATATCAGTCAATTAATTCGTATTTACTTATAGGTCTTTATCAGCTACGTAGTCATCAGTATTTATTGCTGAGCAATTCAATATTAGTGTGGTGTGTGCTACTGATGTCGACAGATATAAGTAGTATGTATCCTCAAATGAAAGTGAATTGCCTAGGAACAAAAGGTTAGGAAGATAGAAGAAAAGAGAACGAGAACAGTGAATGATTGCTGTGGAAATGAAGGAACAATGGAGTCTGAGACGATTGATTGACATTTGCAAAAGGAACAGTCAAGTTTGTGACAATTGATTGACACTTAGCAAATGAAGAATTTACTGTATGGTTCTCAGATTTTAGTAAAAGATTCTATAATTTTGCGCTGAATTACATTCGATCGTCCCCACATGTTCTCTTGCTCATTACACTAAAACAAATTGGTTATCCAGTACTGGATAGTTTTCAATGGTACCCAAACTGAAACTAACCGTAGCTTTTAATTCCTACTCAATAGATCTGTCAAAAATGAATATATATATCTGATAAATAATAATGATGTATTTCATTGAAATCATGAACCGATCGATATTGGACCATCATTGGCAACCTGAAAGCATTAGACGCTCATTTCGTCCTAGTGTGGAACTCCTCAGCAGTGGACATCTACAATTCCATGCGTAGGATTCTTAATGAAATTCAATAATCATTACAACCTCAAACTGAAAACAATCAATATACTTTCATTTATCAATGATATCGCTAACAAATATGCCGAAAATGATGTTATTTATAATTAGACTATTGGGTTAAATGATTTGTCACTGCTTTCTTGACGATGATGTTGTTTATGATGATGACAAGCTGAAGTATTTACTTTGCTAATATAGATATATATCTATATATATATATATATATATATATATATATAGATATATATCGAGAGAGAGAGAGACCCGTATCACACCCTATTCCAATCTATAGTAATGCTTATCTGTATACGTGAAAGATAATAAACTATTGGTGGTAGTTTATGAGCTAGTTATAACAATAAAACAGATTACATATGCAATCATCCTAAGTAAAAGTACAAATCGATGTAAATAGTGATAACAATGCTAACAGTTAAAATGATTGATTTGAATTCATATATAATGGTTGTTTAGACCTTACCTGGTTAGCGTTTTTGTCTAAACAAGGTTGTTGTTGTTGTTATTGCAGATTTAAAAGGAGAGATTGTCAAAGAAAGGGTGGTATTCCTACAGTTGAAGATATTATGGTAGTCAAAATAACTTTCAACCAATATCAAAGTCAGTATCTTCAATACAAACATCTAGACAGTCCTATTGTATGGAGCTGAAACTTTGTGAGCTACTATAATCATCATCAAACAACTGTCTATGCAAGATACTCAATATTCGTTGGCTGGATACCATCAGCAACAACCTACTGTGGGAGAGAATAAGTCAGATTCCAAATGAAGAGGAAGTGAGAAAAAATCGTTGGAAGTAGATAGGACATACATTTGTGGAATTGTCAGACTGAATCATGAGGCCAAGTCTTAACTTGGAATCCCGAATGGAAACGGAAAAGAGGAAGACCGAAGAACATGTTTCGTCAGGGATTTGAAGCAGACATGAAAAGGATGAATAGCAACCGGAAACAACCAGAAAGGATTGTCCAGGATAGAGTTGTATGGGGAATGCCGGTGAGCGACCTATGTTCCTCCAAGAGAGGCAACAAGCTCAAGTGAGTAAATAGACCTGCCGATTAATGGTTAGGACTGCAATTAATTTGTATTTCGGCATATGTGGATTTGTAATCATTTGCAGTCCTAAACATTAATGGTAAGATCAAAACAAGCGATATATAGGAGTTAAAATTCACTTGATTGAACAAACCAGTGGCTATCTGGACTCAGTAACTAGGTAGATAACATTATGACGTTTGAAGCGGAAAGTACTGAGTTCAAGTATCACAGTGAACATAGACTGCAGGATGTAGGTACAACCAGCTGTCGAGTCCGAAATAGGGTGAAACTTGCGTACTGTACTCTACTGCTAACCACCATCCATCTCTGCTTCAAGCTTGACTTACTTTGCTTACATCTATTATTCCATTTAAAATGATTACGATTTTTTTTAATACCGTGAACCCCGAATGAGGGATCGTGGATGAACGCTGCTGAGGAGTCCTATACTAGGACGAAACGGCCGTCCAGTACTTCCAGATTTTCCATGGTGATCTAGCTTCAATTGACTCATGAATTCGAATAATAAATTACTATAATATCCACAAAACCCCTCCCTGATTTAATTATTTATCAAAATGAAAGCTTTCAATTAAAACTTACAAGTTTACAAACATCTAATGCTTTTATGGTAGATAAATAACTTGACTTATCTTCAAAGTCTTTTTGCCAGACAGCTTCTTTGCCATTATCGTATATTTTAAGTTCTACGATAAATATAAGGTCATCTGAAAAATTTAAAAAAAGGCAGAGAAACTTATAGACATTGATAACAGTGTTATAATGCAGTAAACAGATTACATCCTGTGCGATAAGATAGTGGTTGAAGGTAGTCAGCAGGAAATCCTGGACCTAGGTTTCGTGCTATTTGACACTCGTCAGTAAGATATACCTATAATCTTGAGGAAACTGGTTCTCCCTGACGGATTTGAACCCGTATCACCCAGTTTCACACTTAGAGACGTTACCACTGGACTATCCGGGCCGCGACTGACTTCCTGTTGGTCTGAGTTGCATTCACAATTGATTGATCACTGGGTGGTGATCAATATCGTGTGTGTCAGGTCCTTCTTAGTGCAGATCGAATGCTACTGACCAAGTTGCAATGTGGCCACTAGTTTAGGTGACTCGACATTGCATGCATTATGTTGAGATAATATGGTGGGATCGAATCCGTCAGGGAACACCAGTTCCCTCAAGATTACAATTACATCTTGCTGACGAGTGCCAAATAGCACGAAAACCGGGTCCAGTGTTTCCTGTCGACTACCTCCAACCACCATCTTATCTCAACATAGTACATGTAATGTAGAGTCACTTAGACTATTGGCCACATTACAATTTGGTCGATAGCGTTTGATCTGCACTAAGAAGGACCTGACACACATGACATTGATCACCACCTAGTGACCAATCAATTGTGAGTACATCCAGTGCGGATTTCCTAGATATTGCTTGAATTCACAAACATTGTGAACAGAGATGAATGATGGTTACCAGTCTTGGATTTTACTACTAGCCACCTTGCTTATAATGCTTTTTACTTTCTGTTTGAGATTTTTTCGAATACAGTCAACGTGAATGCATTTCCTTGTAAATCCCAATAAATCGTTGGAAGTTCTCTATAAATAATCTGAACCATCCAAAAAAGGTTATGTTCATTTGATCTTAAATAAGACCAACGATAGTTACATTCGTAGGTGGTATTCGTTAGATGTAGTATCACTGGAAGCTAAGGAGTGATGGACTGTCATTTTATCTCAGTATTGGAGTCGCCTTAGATGCTCACCCATAAATAATCGCGGACTGAACTTAAGATCTATAGATCTACCAGTGAACACTCAACCATTTAAATCATTAGATTTTTACCCGATAGTCCAGTTCAAACTTCAATTAAGTTGTGCTATAGAGTAACGATCATTGTTTATTGATTGTCTATTCTATCTCAAACTTACATGCTAGTCTTTAGCCGAAATATTCAATGATGATATCTGTGATTTGGGAATTGAGTGAGGTCTGTTGAAATCTTTCTAGGGGAACCAAACCCCTTCCAAGAATTTGGACAAACAATTTGGTTAAGGTGTAGCAACTAACATGGAATCTGCATCGAAGATTATATTAAATCACTTAACATTAAAATTGTACTTACTTACCATTTACTGGATGGTAAATGGACATATTTATCTCTACACAAGATTAATCAACCTTTGAAGTGATTGGTCACTGAGTACTGGTCAATGTTATACTTGCCCAACATTTAGGGCTGATCGAATTCAATCCATCAAGCTGAAATGCAGATACTAGTCTGAATTATTTGACATCACTTTACTATGTTGTGGTGTTAAATGGTTTAAGGTAATCAGCTGGGAACCCTTGTTCCATCTAGATCTTATACTAGTTGATACTCGTAAGAATGACGTAACTGTAATCTGTTAGAAACTGGTATTGTCTGGTGAAGTACTGGACGGCCGTTTCGTCCTAGTATGGGACTCCTCAGCAATACACATCCACAATCACGCTCACGGGATTCGAACCCAGGACCTTCGATCACGTGTGCGAACGCTTAGCATTTAAATCACTGAACTGGTATCCAACAGTGTTAATGTTTAACCTTAACCAATCCACGAAATTGCGCGACCATCATCCATTGTACTGAGGTAGATATTTGTCTCTAGTCCTTTTTTAATTTTTTGGATCAATAATAAAACTCTAATCTACTAATTAACAAACATCTCAGTTGATAATAATACATGAATGTTAACCGTTAACTTACGTCTTTGACATCGTTTCCCACGTGTATGATCTTTACATAAACATTTTGGTGTTTTTGATGTACCAACACATGTTCCACTATATTTACATGTTGATTCTTGACAATTTGTTAAATCTGTTTCTGCCTCTTATAATACAATGAAGGAAGAAAAAAATAGGAACTTTCGAATAGAAATTTGAAAAAATCACTTAGAAAGTTTCTTTGTTTACATGATGTTATGATATTAGCTAGACAAACATTTAGAATTGAGAAATACTGGAGGGCTTCTTTACATCGAAGTATACGGTCTCGACTACATTACTTACAAGGGGTCAAATTCATGACCTTCAGATGATGGAGAATTCGACCTGAAGTTTGTACTGATGGTGTTGTTCAGAAGAATGATGAAAACTCCATGACCAAACCATCCAGCTCAAAGAACAAAACTCCATCAAAATCATGACCATCAAGTTATATGATGAGTGTCTAATCTTTAGATCAATACGATAACATCCAACGGTCTATATTTCTAACTTTGATCACAATATTGTGACTTGATTGAAATGATAAATTTTGTTTGCTTGATGTTAACTAAATGCCACAAAGTTTAATCGCTCACTGTGAGACCTGAAGATCTTAATAATGTCAATTAGTTATGTAAACCATGAAACTGAAAAATCTCTGCAAACCTTTTATATCAATAGTTTATAGGATTAACTGAGAAGTAGAAAGCGTTGGACATTTGTTTCGTTCAAGTTCGGGACTGTTTATCAGCATGCCCTTAAAACATTCAGGCCTTACAGAAACCGTAATAATATCATGTCACTGGATTGATGTGTAGTTATAAACATTTCCAACTATATTCAATGTGTAATAAAATGAAATATACACATCAGTCGTCACTAACCGGTGTTGGAGATAGCTGGAAGAAAGTTAGGGGTGGCCAAACCAAAACGTGGCATCAGTACTTGAAGACATTAACTTCTGGTTTGATCCATGTTGGTAGATGCAAACTACTTGTTTGGGGTCCGCGTGACTATCGTAACCAATGGTTGGAGACTGTGTGACATGGCTCACAATCGATCACAATGGCGTCGGTGTATACATCACTATCTGTCTTCCCTTAAACTATGAGATTAAAATAGCTTCATATCTTTCTTTCTACCAACTAATTCCTTCTTCCTGTACTATATCTTTATACAAAATCATTCTTTGATATATTACCACCATTGAAGTAACTACTTCTATGAATTCTGTGTTCATCTTGTTGTGTTAATGAGGTATGGCAACTTGAACCGATGTATATATGTGCCTGATCCTACGTTGTAGCTGACTGACTGACTGACTAACCTTCAATCGTTTTCACAGATTCTAAAGTCCCCGATTGAGTGTTGATATCAGTTTAGTACAATAAAAGATATCGACAAAATATGATTTACTGATACAATTAGCAAGATGGTTTAGACGTTGCTTAGCTCACTAGCTGTCCAGAAAGTTTATTTCTCAATGATCAACCAACTAAATATCATAATTCCTAGACCATCGTTTCCCTTCCCTATATTCTTTAGATCTCGTCCTATTTGGGACCCGCCAACTGGATTTACCTGTATCTTTGAGTAGACGATCACTCCAGGCCTCGAACCTTGCATAGTTCGCCTTAAACACCATAAAGTTATCCACTTAGCCACTTGCTTGTGCAACGGGATCAAGTTTAAATTCACTTGATATTATTTACTTAAATCTTTTTGTTGGTGGAGTTTTGTTCTCTGAGATGGATGGTTTGGTTGTGGAGCTTCTATCATTCTTCTGAACGACATCATCAACATAAACTTCAGGTAGAAGTCTTCTCATTAATATTTAGAACTGCAATTGATCAGTCTCTTATTGGCATATGTGCATACTGTGCATATTGTCCAGATATTGCCTTAATTTACAAGCATTCTAAGCGCAGATGGATAAAAATTCACAAAACTTCAGGACAGAAGAGGTTTATTCACAGACATTTATCAGGCATTTCTTTCATTTAGCGTATGAGAAATTTTGTGTGATAATCCTGTTTTACATTAAAATTTAAGTGATAGTATGGTGTGTGCTACTGATATCGACAGAGATAAGTAGTATTGTAGTGAACAAGATCATAAGTGGGGACAATCGAATGTATTTGAATACAAAATTACAGAACATCTTCGTAAAATCTGGGAACCACACAGTAAATAATTGATTTCCAAAATGTTAATCAATCGTCTCAGTATTTATTTTTTCGTCATTTTCACACCAATCATTCTCTGTTCTTACCCTCTTTCCTTCGATCTCCTTAAACTTCTGCCTCTAGGCAATTTACTTTCGATTGATGATACATACTACTTATATCTGTCGACATCAGTAGCACACACCACAGTATGTATCATCAATCGAAAGTGAAATACCTAGTAGCAGAGGGTCAGGATGATCAAAAAAAAGAGAACAAGAACAGACAATGATTGCTGTGGAAATGAAGGAACAATGAAGTCTGAGACGAATCACTGACATTTTGTGAATGAAGAATCTAATGTATAATTCTCAGATTTTACTAGGATGTTCTATAATTTTGTATCGAAATATATTCTATTGTCCCCACTTGTGATCTTCACTACAATAGTATTTTATTTCACAAATTCTGCATTAATTAGAATTATTGTTTATAACTATTAAGTAAGTCAATCAACTATATTTCTAGTTTTTGTAAAAATACTGACCTTTACCCAACAGCAGTAGAACCTAGGTCACGCGATTTGACCTATATGGAACTCGTCAGCCAGGATATCCCGGCATCCCAGATTTGATGTTCCAAACAGGATCAAAAAACGCATCCTGAAGTTCACTGCTATCTATATCCTACCTATTCCATGATAATTTGTGTTATGATAAGTGTATCGAAGCGATTCCCATATGATACGTATATACCAACTAAGACCGATTACAATTCAGTCAAAATATCAACAATCAGATAGTTCAGAACTATTAATAATGAAATTAAAACATATAGCGTTTTAGCATACTTGGTATGTGTTTAACTGTGTAATATCAGGACTGGCCTGCGTCAACATCCAAACTAAAGATAGGGTGTGAAATAGTCGAACACGTTGATAACTTCATTTATCTTGGAAGTCCGATCAGCCCTAATGGGTTAGTGTCTGACAAAATCTCAGCACGGATTCGAAAAGCTCGTTTGGCTTTTGTCAAACTACGACATCTTCTGCGAAGGTGAGATATCCGTTTATCAATTAAGGACGAGTATACTGAGCGGCAGTTCATTCTGTTTTAATTTACGTCTGCGAAACGTGGCCATTAAGAGTAGAAGATATTCGTAAGCTACTAGTATTTGACCACAGATGTCTTAGAAATATTACTGGCGTCTGCTGGGATCACCGGGTAAGTCATAGTGAGGTTAGACGCAGGGTATCAGGGAATGATCGTAAATCAGTTGATTAGGTTGTAAATCTTCATCGACTGAGATGGTTGGGCTATGTGTTGAGTATGCTGAACACCGATTACCACGACGTACAATGCTAACTGGTGTTGGGGACGGTTGAAATGAAGTTAGCGGCCATCAAACCAAAACGTGGGACCAGTGCTTGAAGTCACTAACTTCTGGTCTGATCCATGTTGGTAGATGCAAACTACTTGGTTGGGGTTCACGTGACTATCGTAACCAATGGTTTGAGACTCTTGGTGGCATGGCTCACAATCGATCACGATGGCGTCGGTGTATACAGCACTCTCTGTCTTCCCTTAAACTAAGAGATTAAAATCGCTTCACACCTTTCTTTCAACGAACTAATTCTTTATTCCTGCACTACATCCTGATATGCAATCTTCCTTTTATATATTACAACCACTGAATTAAATACTTCTATGAATCCGTTGTTCATCTTGTTGTGCTAATGAGGTATGGCAACTTGGATCGATGCCTGACCCTACGTTTTAGCTGACTGACTGACTGCATTCTGTCTTACATACAACTCATCAGGTAGATTTCTTCTTCAACCCAGAGTGTAGGATCATATAACCACATGAATCTAGTACTTTTTATATCAAACACCTAATGTGCTATTTGATAAACAAATAAATCTAGAATATCATTCATTTGGTCAATCAGTATAGATTTCTAGTTTCAATTTATTGATATTTAACACTACCATTGATCACTCTCTCTGTGTCCCTGTTACATCATAAGTCCATTGCCTCAATATAGCTTTATGTCACATCAAATTATTCAGGTCACAATAAAGAGCAATAGAAACTAATCTATTATAGTCTTAAATATCGACAATTTGATATGATAAATCATTGTTGAAACATATGATTATTATCTTATTACTATCATTAGAGTAATCTCTTGTAACATCATCTTATCACATATTCTCTTTATTGTTATCATGTTATCATTTAGGTGTAATTCAAGTAGAAACTTGAATTTTTTTGATTAAGATCATGAACCGATTGATGTTAGACCACCACTGAAAAACTGGATGCACTGGATGGCCATTTCGTCCTATTGTGGGACTCCTCAGCAGTGCGCAACCACGATCCCGCTCGCGCGAATCGAACCCACGGCCTTCAGTCTCACACGCGAACGCTTAACCTACTTGAATGTAGTTTACATTCACATCCATATATATTCTTAAACATGATCTTTATATTATGCAACATATTGTAGTTCTTTAACCTTTACTTTTCCCTGTAAATAAAATTATCCTAGTACTTGACTAGGTTTCTAAAATTAAAAAGGAATAGTAATCTGCAATTGATATAAGCATTAACAATAGTTAACATCATGAGTCAGTTGAAGTTAGACCACTGTGGAAAACGTGGGAGCACTGGGCGGCCGTTTCGTCCTATTGTGGGACTCTTCAACAGTGCCCATCCACGATCCTGTCTCACGAGATTCGAATACAGGATCTACCAGTCTCACGCGCGAGCACCTACCTTCTAGATCACTGAACCAGCTGGCAACTAACGGTGTTAATGTTTAACTTCAAGTAATCCACTAAATTGAGCGATACATCCATCAGTGTCGTCAGTGAGTTACTATCTCATAAACATTTTCATTAAGAATGGTAGTCTGTGAAGATCTTAAAAGTTTTATTGATGTTCTCTCATATATA